GGCAAAAAAGTTCCTTTATATATTTTATTAAAAAAAATATTTTTGACAAATTTCATAAATCCAAAAAAAAAAATTTTGCAAAAGAAAAATTGACAATCAATCATTTTATTATTACAAGTATACGCCATATATAGTACCCTCCTCCGATTACAGTACCCCTCCTAATATAATAATCTGCAATATTTAGTAGAATGTAAAATACCCCAGATACTATACAGAATGCTTTACGGTAATATGCTGATTGTATTGTACAATGTTTAAATACACACATCTAATAAAAATTCTCTTAACATACATAATGGATTGTAAATTTATAAGCTACAATGCTTTTCAGAAATATATAGCTAAAGAGAATAAAATACCAAGCGAACATAAAACATATTTTGCAAGAAACTGTGAATATAAGTAGCGAAAAAGGAAGGGAGAAAATGCAAAAAAATATGAGGCGTGTCTTACACGTGACAATGAATGAAAATGCATAAGTTAGCAATAGAATAAATGAACAGTGTGAGATATGTCTAAATAATTTTCAAAAACAAAAAACCTATCTAAAGAATCTTAATCAAAACCAAAATGAAATAAATCAAATAAATCAAAATTCAGAACACAACAACAATGATAAACTCTTCAAACCATTTGATTTCAAGAGACTTCAACATATTAAAGAAGGCAAAAGGCTACAAAAGAGATTAAATAAAGAAAAATGTCTAGTTTCAATGATTCCAGAAAATCAGCATATTTAACATTAATCATTATTATTGTAACAATAATTATTGATAAAAAATATAACAAAATTTAATGATAATCTAAAACTTAATCTCGTTACACTTGTACTTATTATATATAATGCAATAATCATTTATTAATATTATACAATCATTATTATTTTTGTTTATTATTTATTGTTTATTTATGATTTATTTTTTTGTAGTAACGTAGCGTGTGCAAATATTCAGAAATCATCACGTGATCGCATATATCGCTACTGATCATAGAATTAATATTGTCCTTCACTTCATTTCATACAATAATTTTAATTATAATCTAATTAGTATTATAATAATATATTTTTATTTTATAAAAATTAGAATACCTAATATTTAATTTAAAAATGTATTAGCAATTGTTTTTTTAATATCAAAAAGTTAGAATATTATAATATATATTATTTTAATTAAATTTTAATACATAGTATTTATCAATCAAAGCAATCCAATTCATTTTATTTTAAATTATATATTTATTATTATTTTTATATTTAATATTTTTTTATAATTTTTAATATTTATTATATATATTAATTATTTTATTATAAATATAACATTTATTAATCAAACTAATCCAATATATTTTTATTTTAAAGCGTTGATTAATAATGTTATTTAAAACTATTTAAACCTTAAAATAACTTTTTTTAAAACTTATTAAACTTAATTAAGTTTAAGAAAATCTAATAGAAGTTTAAATAAAAATATTTATTATAAAGAAATAGTTTAATTTCAAAAAATCTTGAAACTTAAAATTATTTAAAAATAATTAGATAAGTATTTTTATATTAATTGTTAAATAAAATTTAGTTTAATTTATGCAGATTATTACTAAAAATTTAGCATATTTATTATAATTAAATTTGCAAAATACAAATGTTACTCAATAAAAAATCAAATAAAAAATGTTTAAATAATAATCAATTGATTATCAATTTACATTAATTAATATCTAAAACTAATCTAAAATTAGCTTAAATTAACTTATTAATTATTTATATTAATCAGAATTAATAATACCTAATTTATATTTATTAATTCATGATCTAAAGCAGTTTGTGTTAGGTTAAGATCTGTTAGTTCTACTAGTTCTACTCTAAAAGCTGTTTTAAGAAATTGTATTAATCATAGCTTATCATAAAATAGTTTAATGATATGAGCATTTTTAAAAATAATGAAAGCGATCTGTTATGAATCTCAGACGATTATTAAAAATCTGATAATACGTCAGATTTAATAAATAAGTGAATATCTTAAGGGACCTTTCATTTTCAGCATTCTTTTTGATCTTTTTTACTGCAAAATCTACAATAATAAAGATTGGATTATGTTATGTTTTCTATACTTTTGTAATAATGTGTTATTTTCTTCTCAATCAGAAATAAACTGAAAATTTTCTAAATTTAGCAATGTAGGTAAAGCCTTGATAACTATTAAAACGTACAAATAGGAAATTAATGAATATGTGTTTTTTGGCTATGGTTTTTCCTTTTATGTCTGATGTGTTATCAGTTGCGAAGAAATGCATAAAAGCAGTAATAATGTTATAAGTAGTCTCTTAATTTTTTTAGTCATGTGACTTTTCGTTTTATTTAATTTCTTCAGACTAAGATTGTTTCTATTTCTCTTTGTTACAGTAGATAAAATATAATCAAGACTAGTATCATCAAATATGTTGTTATTATTATTGTAAGCATGTATAGAGTTCTTAGCTGTCTATTTTGGAATATCATAAAGCACTGACTAAACTATCCCTTTTGTACAAACTACTTTCCTAAGGTTTTGAGCTAAAATTTTGTAAAAACCCTAGGTATTTTACATAGTATTTTTTTTTAAAGATTACAAATTAATTAATTTTACTTATTTATATATAATTATCTATCTAATATTTATAAAATAATATCAATAAATGCAAAAAATATAATCATATAACATTCATATGTAAGAAGTATGATTCAGTAAAATTTTGAAAGGAATTTCAATTTGTAAATCCTGTATGCAATTTCTGATTTAATTGTCTGATCAATACCATTAAATTGTCTGATCAAAACTTAAATATTATTTAAAAAAATAAATAGCAAAAGATTTTTTAAAAAAATAATGTTTTTATTTTAATATTTTAATCTTACTAAACCAATTAATTTATCCTTAAACAATATTTCAACAAATTATTTATTATTATATCTTCCTAAAATTTTATCATATTTGATATCATCAAACAATATTAATTACTATCATTAAAATTTAAACCATTCCAATTATTATAATCTTGCTTATAATCTCTCTCTTCTCTTCCTTCTAATTCATTATCTATATTATTTCTATCATTATTTTCTTTATCTTTATTATCTATAAGATTATCATAATTAAAGATTTCATCATTTTCTGTACCATCTGTTTTGACTGAAATTCCACAACATCTAAATGATTTGCAAATTAAACTTGATTCAACTTTTTTCTATGTAATCTTTACCTATAAATATAATAAGGAGTATGAAAGTTTCTTGATATGTCTAGCCAGAATTAATTTATAAACTTGATTTGCCATCCAATCATCATAAAGCTCACGAATCTGTTAAAAAATTTTAATTTAATTAATAAAATTAAATAATATTTAATAAATAATGGCTTTGTTGAATTAATAAATAAATGTTTTGAAATATATAAATAATTAATAATTTAATAAATATAATTTAAATAATTAAATAAATACAAATAATTTATATTAGATTTAAAGTTTTTATTTATTTTCACATCAAGAGGTTGCAGCTTAAATGTTAGCCTATTAGGTATTACTACTATATTAGTTGCATTTTTATTAAGTATTTGTTTAACAGAATCAACTAAATATCTATGAAAAAAATCTAAAACTAAGAAAGATCTGGGAATTAATAATAAACTATTAGTTTTTTTAGACCAATATTTTCAACCTACCATATCATTTCATTCTCATTAATTCACATTTTTTCATTTGTTCTTATAAATATACCATCAGAAAATATTTCTCAAGATACATTTTTTAATTTGAAAATAACAATAGGTGGTAATTTAAATCCATCTGATATATAACCTAAAATAACTGTAAAATTACTTTTTTATGTCTTGTAGTTTTAATGTTAATAGTATTTGAATCACGTTTTTCTAAGATATATAAACTTGGTAAATTGGTAAATCAAAAGTTACAGGAGTTTCATCTATATTCCTAATTAAGGATGAGAACTGTAATTAATATGTTGCAACTTTTAATGTTGCAACTTACGTTGCAATTAGTTTTAACCTATATATGTTGCAACTTATAATGTTACAACATACGTTGCAACTAATTTTAGCTTATGTTGCAACATTTTGTAAATTTAAAATCAATTGCTGTACCATCTTTATTCCTAATACATTTAAATAAATAATCATGTTATATTCTTCTATAAAGAATAAAACTTAGAAAACTTTGCTGTTTTTCTAGCAAATCTTCTGGCAAATGTTATAATACTATTGTTCTCTGATAATTTGAAAGATTATAATGAATTATAAAACAATCCATTAATTTATTTAAGAATTTAAAGGAAGAAATGTTTAGATATTTCTTTTGATATTCATTAGTTTGTGCAAATTCTATGACCTTTTTACTGCTATATTCCTAATAATTGGTAAACTTTATGCTTTACAGTCTATAATCCATTTTGCTAGCTCTTGCTCTAAATCTAGAAAATATGGACTTCTACTATTATGTAGTTTTAATAAATATGATACTGATATTTTGAGCTAGTTTTTTTTACTTCTTCAATCACGAACTTAACTTGGTTATATATTAAAATGTTTTGCAATTATATGAACACTATTTGAATAGTTTAAAAATAAAAAACCATTAATTTTTCATAAAAATACCATTATCTTTTTTTTAAAGCGATTCTAGAACATTTAGGTTTTTTGTTTCCTTTGATAAACATTTTAAATGTAATATTATAAAATGAAACACAAAAGTGAATACAAAATGTAATATGAAATGCAATGCAAAATTTTATACTAAACTATATGGTTAATTAAAATATTGAACAATTAAAGAAATAAAAACACAATAAAACTATCCTTATATAAAATTTTATCAAAACATATCAGCATTTAATTAGTTCAATGAGTTGGCAAAATATCTAATTTTTATGTAACAATCAAAGAAATATTCTAATTTTTTAGCAATTTCAAAATTTACAGTTTTCGTAATTGAAATTTTTACAATTTTAAAATTTGCATAGTTTTTATAATTTCGCAATTGCAATTTCAAATTTGAATTACAGAAATTAAATAAATTTAATTAACGAATTAATCATCACTGCTTTAATATTGATTAATTCTAGGTTTAACATTAAGTAAACTATGGTTTAATACTAATTAATCCCTATAGAAATTTATTAAATAATTATAATTTGATTTACAATATGACCAAAACCATAACTAAAAATTTAGCTGAACTAATTATACAGTTTGAAACCAGTTTACTTAACATTTTTATTATATAATTTCAATATAACTTGCAAAAAAAAAGGTTGTAAAAATTTTTTTTCATTATAACTATTGAATATATTTTATTTTTTATTAGTTCCCTATAAGAAATCGAAATAAGGAAATGATACGTTTTTTATAAGGTTTGTATACGTAATTAATGATTCTATATCA